CAGGTATTCTCCGTGTCTGGAGTATTGCTTGATAGGGGTGGATAATTAGTCTGCCACCGGTGGGACTCCCAGGCTGGAGTGTGTGTGGGGGTGTCTATGTACTCCCTTTCCCAAGAACTGCTACCAGAAGCACCTGTGGAAGTTGGGTGTTGAGTACCCGTTTCCCTTTCCACAGCCAACGTAGGCTGTTGATTTTGAAACCCAGAATGCATTTCCCATTCCTCCTCCCCCCCCAGAGGAGACTGCGAAGGAACCATAGGCGCGTCCCGCCTCACACGTAATTGATCGATGTGGCGGCAAAGCACGCGGCCGTCTGGCAGGGACACCTCGTAAGACAGAGGCCCCGAGACTTTACAGACCACAGCCGGTACCCAAAGGTGGCGAGGCCCGTAATTTCTGGCCCAGACAGGATCACCTTCACGAAGGACCCGTGGTGGGTGTGGCTGAGACACCTGAGCAGCTACACGTTCCGGATGCAGCCTGTCCAATTTAGTCACGAGCCGACGACCCCAGCGGAGTTCGGCCGGGCACTTACCCGTGGCAGTGCACGGAGTAGTACGATGTGCCAAGAGAAAGTCAGCCAACCTGTGATGCCAGTTACCGTAAGTCAGCTTCTTGAGGGCGTCCTTGGTGACGCGGACCATCCGTTCAGCCAGACCGTTGGTGGAAGGATGGAAAGGAGCTGAAGCAGCGTGGCGGATCATGTTGGTCTGGAGAAAACCCTGAAACTCAGTAGAAGTAAATTGAGGACCGTTATCCGACACTAGAATATCTGGCAACCCATGTGCAGCAAAAATGTTCCTCAACACCTGGATAGTCTTGGCAGCTGTGGTAGAAAACACAGGCACGACCTCCAGCCATTTGGAATGGCTATCAACAACAACCAGGAAGAATTGACCCTGAAAGGGCCCAGCGTAATCTACATGTATTCTAGACCATGGAGTGTGTGTTTCCTCCCACCTGTGTACAGGGGCCTGGGGCATTTCAGGTCTGGACTGTTGGCAGGTATGACATCCATGTACTTGGGACTCGATGGC